TGGGATATTGTCCTGGCGTGACCTGGGGTTTTTCCTGGGATCATCTGGGATTTTTTTCCCAGAATGATTTGGAATTTTTCCTGGGATCATTTGCGATTTTTTTCCTGGGTTCATCTGGGATTTTTTTTCCTGGAATGATTTGGAATTTTTCCTGGGACGATTTGGGATTTTTCCTGGGATGATTTGGGATTTTTTCCTGGAAATATTTGGGTTTTTTTCCTGGGATGATTTGGAATTTTTTCCTTGGGATGATTAGTGGTTTCCTTGGGATGATCTGGGATATTTTCCTGGGGTGATTTAGGATTTTTTTCCTGGGATCACCTGGGATTTTTCCTGGAATATTTTGAGATTTTTTCTTGGCATCATCTGGGTTTTTTTTTCTTGGGATGATTTGGGATTTTTTCCTGGAATAATTTGGGGTTTTTTCCGGGGATCATCTGGGTTTTTCCCCAGGATTATTTGGGATGTCTCCTTTAATTATTTGGGGTCTTTTCCTGGAATTATTTGGGATTTTTCCAGGGATCATCAGGGATTTTTCCCCAGAATTATTTGGGATGTTTCCTGGAATTATTTGGTTTTTTTCCTGGGATGATTTGGGATTTTTCCTGGGATAATTTGCGATATTTTCCTGCATAATTTGGGATTTTTTTCCTGGGATAATTTTGGATTTTCCTTGGGATGATACGGGTTTTTTCCCCGTAATTATTTGGGTTTTTTTCCTGGAATGATTTGGCATTTTTTCCTGGAAATATTTGGGTTTTTTCCTGGGATGATTTGGGATTTTTCCCGGGATCATCTGGGATTTTTCCCGGGATTATTTGGGATGTCTCCTTTAATTATTTGGGGTTTTTTTCTGGCATGAGTTGGGATTTTTTTCCTGGGATCATCTGGGATTTTTTTCCCGGGATCATCTGGGATTTTTTTCCCGGGATGATTTGGAAGTTTTTTCCTGGAATTATTTGGGGGTTTTTCCTGGAATTATTTGGGGATTTTTTCCCAGGATGCTTTGGAATTTTTCCCGGTATCATCTGGGATTTTTCCCGGGATTATTTGGGATGTTTCCTGGAATGATTTGGGGTTTTTTCTTGGGTTGATTTGGGATTTTTTTTCTTAGGATCATCTGGGATTTTTTCCTGGGGTGATTTTTTTCCTGGGATCATGTGGGGTTTTTCCCAGGATTATTTGGGATGTTTCCTTTAATTATTTGGGATTTTTCCCTGGGTGATTTGGGATTTTTTTTCCTGGAATTATTTGGGATGTTTCCTGGGATCATCTGGGATTTTTTTTCCTGAGATGATTTGGGATTTTCCTTGGGATGATATGGGATATTTTCCTGGGGTGATTTAGGATTTTTTTCCTGGGATCACCTGGGATTTTTCATGGAATATTTTGAGATTTTTTCTTGGAATCATCTGTTTGTTTTTTTTTTTTTCCTTGGGAAGATTTGGGATTTTTTCCTGGAATAATTTGGGGGGTTTTTCCGGGGATCATCTGGGATTTTTCCCAGGATTATTTGGGATGTCTCCTTTAATTATTTGGGGTCTTTTCCTGGAATGATTTGAGATTTTTTCCTGGGATCATCTGGGATTTTTCCTGGAATGTTTTGAGATTTTTTCTTGGCATCATCTGGGATTTTTTTCCTGGGGTGATTTGAGATTTTTTCCTGGGATCATCTGGGATTTTTTTCCCGGGATGATTTAGAATTTTTTTCCTGGAATGATTTGGCATTCTTTCCGGGAATTATTTGCGGTTTTTTTCCTGGGATCATCTGGGATTTTTCCCAGGATTATTTGGGATGTTTCCTTTATTTTTTGGAGGTTTTTTTGCTGGGATGGTTTGAGAATTTCTCCTGGGATCCCCTGGGAATTTTCCTGGGATCACCTGGGATTTTTTCCTGGGATGATTTGGAATTTTCCCTTGGATCATATGGGGTTTTTCCCAGGATTATTTGGGATGTTTCCTTTAATTATTTGGGGTTTTTTCCTGGATGATTTGGGATTTTTTTCCTGGAATTATTTGGGATTTTTTTCCTGGAATTATTTGGGATTTTCTTCCTGGGATCATCTGGGATTTTTTTTCCTGAGATGATTTGGAATTTTCCTGGGGTGATTTAGGTTTTTCCTGGGATGATTTGGGAATTTCCTTGGGATGATTTGGGATATTATCCTGGGAGGACCTGGGGTTTTTCCTGGGATCATCTGGGATTTTTCCCAGGATGATTTGGGATTTTTCCTGGGATAATTTGGCATTTTTTCATGGAATTATTTGGGGTTTTTTGCTGAGATGATTTGGAATTTTTTCCCCTGGGATGATTTGGTTTTTTTCCCAGGATGATTTGGAAGTTTTTCCTTGGGATGATTTGGGGTTTCCTTGGGATGATCTGGGATATTTTCCTGGGGTGATTTGGGATTGTTTCCTGGGACCATCTGGGATTTTTCCTGGAGTGTTTTGAGATTTTTTTCTTGGTATCATCTGTGTTTTTTTTTTTTTTCTTGGGATGATTTGGGATTTTTTTCTGGAATGATTTGGGGTTTTTTCCTGGGGTGATTTGGGATTTTTCCTGGGATCCTGTGGGGTTTTTCCCTGGATTATTTGGGATCTTTCCTTTAATTATTTGGGGTTTTTTCCCTGGATGGTTTGAGATTTTTTCCTGAATCATCTGGGTTTTTTTTTCCCGGGATGATTTGGAAGTTTTTTCCTGGAATGATTTGGCATTTTTTCCTGGAATGATTTGGGTTTTTTCCTTGGGATGATTAGTGGTTTCCTTGGGATGATCTGGGATATTTTCCTGGGGTGATTTAAGATTTTTTTCCTGGGATCATCTGGGATTTTTCCTGGAATATTTTGAGATTTTTTTTCTTGGCATCATCTGTTTGTTTGGTTTTTTTCTTGGGATGATTTGGGATTTTTTTCCTGGAATAATTTGGGAGTTTTTTCCGGGGATCATCTGGGATTTTTCCCAGGATTATTTGGGATGTCTCCTTTAATTATTTGGGGTCCTTTCCTGGGATGATTTGAGATTTTTTCCTGGGATCATCTGGGATTTTTTTTCTTGGGGTGATTTCGGATTTTTTTCCTGGAATTATTTGGGATTTTTCCAGGGATCATCTGGGATTTTTCCCCAGAATTATTTGGGATGTTTCCCGGAATTATTTGTTTTTTTCCTGGGATGATTTGAGATTTTTTCCTGGGATCATCTGGGATTTTTTTCCTGGAATTATTTGGGATTCTTCTGGGAATCATCTGGGATTTTTCCCCAGAATTATTTGGGATGTTTCCTGGAATTATTTGGTTTTTTCCTGGGATGATTTGGGATTTTTTTTCCTGGGATCATCTGGGATTTTTCCTGGGCTAATTTGCGATATTTTCCTGCGATGATTTGGGATTTTTTCCTGGGATAATTTGGGATTTTCCTTGGGATGATACGGGTTTTTTCCCGTAATTATTTGGGATTTTTTTCCTGGAATGATTTGGCATTTTTTGTGGAATTATTTGGGATTTTTTTCCTGGAATGGTTTGGCATTTTTTTCCAGGGTTGATTTGGAATTTTTCCTGGGATCATGAGGGGTTTTTCCCAGGATTATTTGGGATGTTTTACTTAATTATTTGGAATTTTTTCCTGGGATTGTTTGAGATTTTTTCCTGGGATCATCTGGGAATTTTCCTTCCCAGGATGATTTGGAAGATTTTTCCTGGAATTATTTGGGGTTTTTTCCTTGGACAATTTGGGATTTTTTTTCCTGGGATCATCTGGGACTTTTTTTCCCGGGATGATTTGGAATTTTTCCTGGATTGATTTGGCATTTTTTTGTGGAATTATTTGGGATTTTTTTCCTGGGGTGATTTGGGATTTTTTCTTGGATCATGTGGCGGTTTTCCCAGGATTATTTGGGATGTTTCCTTTAATTGTTTGGGGATTTTTTCCTGGGATGGTTTGGGATTTTCTTCCTGGGATCATCTGGGATTTATTCTTGGGATCATCTAGGATTTATTCTTGGGATCATCTGGGATTTTTTCCTGGGGTGATTTGCGATTTATTTCCTGGGATCATCTTTTTTTTCCCGGGATGTTTTGAGATTTTCCCTGGGGTGATATGGGATTTTTCCTAGGATGATTTTGGATTTTCCTTGGGATGATATGGGATATTATCCTGGAATCATCTGGGATTTTTCCCAGGATTATTTGGCATTTTTTCCTGGAATGGGGTTTTTTCCTGGGATCATCTGGGATTTTTTTCCTGGGATGATTTGGTTTTTTTTCTTGGCGTCATCTGGGATTTTTTCTTGGGGTGATTTGGGATTTCTCGTGGGATGATTTTGGATTTTTTTTTTCTGGAATGATTTGGCATTCTTTCCTGGAATTATTTGGGGTTTTTTCCTGGAATGATTTGGCATTTTTTCTTCAGTTATTTGGGATTTTTTTCCTGGGATGATTTGGGATTTTTCCTGGGATCATGTGGAGTTTTTTCCAGGATTTTTTGGGATGTTTCCTTTAATTATTTGGGGATTTTTCCTGGGATGGTTTGAGATTTTTTTTCCTGGAATCATCTGGGTTTTTTGTTTTCCTGGGATGATTTGGGATTTTTTTTCCTGGAATTATTTGGGTTTTTTTCCTGGGATCATCTGGGATTTTTTTCCTGGGATTATTTGGAATTTTTCCTGAGATGATTTGTGATGTTTCCTGGGATAATTTGGGATAATTTCCTGGGATCATTTGGAATTTTTTCCTGAGATGGTTTGGGATTTTTCCTGTGGAGATTTGACATTTTTCCCTGGCGTGATCAGTAATTTTCCTGGGATGATTTGGGATTTTTCCTGGGATCATCTGGAATTTCTTTTTCCCGGAGTAACAAAGAGTAAATTAATGCTGCAAATCACCTGGGGAATCATTTCCCCCCAGAGCTGCCCCAACCTCCAGGAGTTCTCCTGTCCAACATCACCAGCATGGAAAGGAAAAAAAAAAGGGAAAAGTGCCCCAAAAAAACCCGGTGAGGATTTGGCTGTAGTAGTGTAAATAGTTTATTTGATTTTATGGCAGGAACAGACCAGGAAAGGAACGTGAACTGCTTTAGAAAACACTCTAATCTTGCTAAGAAGCAGATCTATTACTAGAAAAATATTAAAGAGAACATGCCAGCCTGGAGAATTTTGGGTCTTTCGTTAAAAAAATACCTTTGAGCCGAAGAAGAGGAGATCTGGTGCTTGTAACCAACAATCTATCACATTGAATTGAAAATTATCCCATTTCTTCCGATTCAAACAACTCCTTGGGACTGCCAGGGAGGCAAAGGAGGGGGTGGCATGTTCTCTTTAGTGGGTCAAGTGCTGCAAAATGCAAGGAATTGGCAGTTTTGAAAGTCAAAAATTCCTGTAAATAGGTCAACGTGGTAACTCTGAGCCCCAAACTGTCCGTTTAGTTAAATATAAAAACAAAAACTATAAGTTAAAATAACATTCAGATTGTATAGCACAGGCTTGATGCATTTATTTCATTTTAAACAATATTTACAATATTACCCAGAGGCTAAAGGGGGGGAGGGGGGGGATAAAAGAGAAGTGTAAAAACCATAAAAAACTGCACCAATTTTGTAGCAAAATATCTGTACATTTAAAAACAGATTATCATATAACTACACATTATCCGAGGGGGGGAAAGATTCCAGGGACCTTCACCAGTGGAGGGAGCACAACGGGAAAGGGCCAAGAAATTCCGTGGTTAAATACTATACAAGAAATTTTACAATGAACAGGGGGATGTGACGAGCCCAGGGAAGAAGCTGGAAGCAAAAAAGGGGTCTTGGAAAGGACAAATCTCTCTCTTCAGTCCAGTTCTTCCCAGCTGAGAGGATCAAGGGGTTGGATTCCTCCTCCTGCTGCTCCGGGAGCTGGGGGTGCACGACGGGCCTAAAATGTCTCCTGTCCCTTTTTAGGCTTGGAAAAAGCCATTTTGAACCTAAAACCTCCCCGGGGTTTTAGGCTGGGCTTGTCTTTGGTGCCCAAAGGAGCCTCAGCAGGGAACGGGGGTGGGATTGGCCCGGGGTGTGATCCCACAGAGCAGGGCTGGGCTGGTTCCCCAGTGAGGAACTGGACTGAGGTGGTCCCTAATACTGATTACTGAGGTGTTAATTGGCTTAGTGCTAATTAATAAATAGCTGTTACTCCAGAGCTGTGAGTGCCGGCCGGGCCTCCCCCTCCCTGTCCTGGCCCCCAAAACCCCCCTGGCCTGGGGGTGACCTCGTTTGGTTCCTCTCCCTGGGATCGTGGATGTGTTGGGTCCCACATCCAGCTCCGGAGGTGCCGAGGGTGGGAAAAGGGCTGGGATTGTTATTCCTACAGAAAGCCCTTCAGTGTCTTCCTTTGTGATCAAACCCCAAGCCATAAGTGCAGCCGACACCCTGGGCACCAGCACAGGGATCAGTTCAGAGCCGAGCATTTCAAAGCTGAGCACATCCCAGTATTCCCAGTTTCCAACCAGCGGAGAGAGACCAGTCGCCGAACGCCGCCCTCAGGCAGCCAAACCAACCCCCCAGACCAGCAGGAATTTTACATTTTGGTTCCGGACGCCGTGGGACATGTCCGAGGACACCCCTCAGGCCGGGTCCCTCAGCCCAGGTCCCGGCGCTGTCCCTGGAGCAGGTCCTTCCATCTCAGGCACTTGGTGGCTCCGGGGCGGTTCCCAGCCGTTCCCAGGCCCGGCGCGTGGGTTTGGCCGCTCCCAAAGGCTCGCCGAGCACGGAGTGTCCGTGGCCGAGGCCCCCGGGGAGCCCCCCGGGGCTCACATGGCCACGTCGGGGCCGTTGGGGCGCAGGCCGTGCTCGTCGAAGCGGCGGCGGATGCTCCTCCTCAGCGCGTCGGCCCGGCGGTACGGCTGGTTCCGAAGATCTGCGGGCAGGGAAGGGCCTGGTGAGCTCGTCCCGGGAAAACGGCCCCCCCGGACACACACACGCACACACACAGAGAGAGGCCAGACAAGGAAAGTCCTGCTGGAAGCCAATCAAAGCAGCTTGTGGAGGGCAGAGAAGGGGGTCGGCCCCGAGGGGAGCGGGGGCTGCCGTGCCCGACTACGCGCCCAAGCAGCGGGGTAATACTGGTGGGACCGTGTGGGACCGTGTGGGGTGGGAACATCCATCAGAGAGGCACCATCACCCCAAATCGGGGGGTCCATGTGTGCCCCAGTCCTCCAGAGCCTCCCTCATTCCCACAGCGGGATGAGGGAGATGTGCAACCCACAGTCCCGTGGGACGCGTTTGGCCACAGCGGGATGGAGCTCTGACCCCTGTATCCCCATTCATCATGGAACCATTCAGGTTGGCAAAGATCTCTTAGATCAAGTCCAACCAGATTTAAAGGTGGGAAAAACAGCTGGTGCTCGGGATGCTCCAGCTGCTGTCCTGCCCCGTGGCTGGAGCAAAACCTCCTCAGCCAAAGGGTGTGGAGTGGCCAAACCCCTCCCTCCTCATCCTCATCCTCCTCACCTGCAGCAAAGCCCAGCCCAACCCACCCCACTGCTGGGGAGGTGAGAGCTCAGGAGGGAACACTGAGCATGGAATGGATGGATGGATGGATGGAGGGATGGATGGAGGGATGGAAAAGTGGGAAAGCTGATGAATGCCTTGATGAAGCCCATTCCATGTGCCATGTGTGTTACCTGTGCAACCACAACACAACCAGCACATGGATGCCCTGAAGACTATTCCAGATAAAATATTTCTCTGCTGGCCAACAAATTTGTGTTGGATTGGGCAAACCCTCCCTCAGATTTCCTGGATAATTGTGTCAGGGTCACACACAACTCCCCAACTTCTCAGCTCTGCCCCTGGAGCTGCTGGTTGAGCACCTCATCCCCTATTTTGTGGTCTGGGGGCAGCAGAACCTCCAGGGAGCTGTGGGGCTACAAAACCTGAGGACAAGACTATTTTGGGCTGAACTTGAAGAGAAATGGCCAAAACGGTGTGAAGATGGTCACCAGCCAACGGCCTGTGGATCCCCTGCACCTCCAAGGGTGAAAATCAAGGATCTGGGTCTCCACAGGCCTGGAGGTCTCACCAGTATTAGCTCAGCCACATCTACCACCAGCTCCTGGCAGACAGAGAGAGGAGGAAGCCAAGTAAAAAGTGATGCTTGCCAGCTCTGGGTATCCTCCACCACCGGGGTGCTAGAAGAAATCCTTACCCTCGAGTGAACATTGGGAAATTTAGTGATATTATTCTTCTTTAGGGCTAAACAGAAAAAAAAACAAAACAAAACAAAAAAAAAACAAACAAAAACAAAACAGAACACAAAATGATGGTTAAGTAAAAAAATGGGATGGAAAATGAAGAGCAAGTCAAGTCAGCCAAGTTCAAACCTCCCGGGCGGGGTGACCACAGAGCAAGAGGGTGAGGCCAAGGCTGTGAGGGGTTAGACAGGGGCAGGAGGGACAGGAGGCCTCCTGGCCTCTCCCCACCCCAATTCCAAGCTGCTTTGAAGGCTCCAGGAAGAGAACACGGCAGCGGACTCGGAGAGCAAAGACCCGTCGAGTGATTAGTTGGATTTATTGCAGCATTAATTAAAGTACACAGGGAAGGGGGAAACACTGTTGGCTTCTTAAGCTGCTGGGGCCTTAATGCAAGACAACAGTGCTGAGACATGCAGGGTTAGAGACACCCTTCCTACATGGACACCACGGTGGGAATCGCTCAGTTCCACGTCAGCCTTTTCAGCGGCACCATCTCGGCGGTTCTGGCCCATATTTAAGTGTTTCCCCAGCCCTGCTCCTCTTTCCCCCCAGTCCCAGCACTGCACAGTCCAGCTGAACTGGTTCATGCTCAGGGAAGATTCCTGATTTTCCTTAAACAAAGCTGACGTGGAACTGAAGGAGTTAAACGTGGACGTGACCGATGAGCAGAGATTTCCCCCCGCCGGTTCCACCTCGTGTCTCACGTGCAGCCAACATGCAGGGGCTGGTTAGGAATCTAACCCCAACCACGGGTGTTAGCCCAGGCAGCCCTCCCCAGCCAGAAGCCACCCCCAGGGATGTTCCCCTAGTCCATGCAGCCCGGAATTCCGCCGAGGCATCACATGCACGGCACACAAAGGTGTGCGGGCCACGGGGGTGACATAGAAAAGCCAAGTGAACGTCACTTCTTGGCTTCATTTGGTCTCCTCAGCCCTTGGACTGCAGGAAACTCGCCCCAGTGACTGCCACCACTTGCTGTTCTATGGCACTGGAACACAGGGATGGCCAGAAGTCGATGGGATGGAACGAGAAGTTATGGAGACACGGGACGTGCAACGGAGGTGACACCACGAGAACGTCGGGTGACGCCGGACACCACTAAACACTCAACATTCACATGTCCTGGCTGAGATCTGCACAAAGGGGGGGGAGGGACAACAAATCTACAGCCACCTTCCTGTTTTCTAAGAGCGTCAGGTGTGAGAGAGGAATAGTTTAGTAATGGAATTCCTCCGTGACAACGGGGTCGCAGAAGAACCGAGAGCCGCGCTTGGCGCTCCGGGCGGTGAACGGCACCGTCTTCAGCACTGCATGGGAACAACAACAGCCAGACACACAAACCAACGTCAGCAGGGCTCCAGGGCATTAGTGCGGGGTTAGTGCTCCACCAGGGATGGCCAGGGACACTCTGACATGGGCCAACAGCTCCCTGAAAGCTGCTCCTCAGCGGGCTTTGGACGCGGCAGCAGAAAGGATTGAGGAAGGATTTAATCGGCTCGTGGAATTCCAGAATGGTTTGGGTTGGAAGGGACTTAAAACTCATCTCATCCCACCCTCTGGACACCTTCCACTAGAGCAGGTTGCTCTAAGCCCTGTCCAACCTGGTTTGAACACTCCCAGGGATGGGGAGCTCCATGATTTCCAGGGATAAGGAAGTGACCTCAGTCCTACCTGACTCCCTGTGCCTGACTTTCACCACTCCATGGCTCGAGCCACCCCCAGGATGGGAAATGCCAGCTAATCCACGGCTCGAGCCACCCCCATAACGGGAAATACCAGGCACGAGGGCACAGGAAATGTTTGAGCTGAAATGTCTCATCTGGCACCCACTCCACTGGATGCCTTTTCCATGGGGAAGGGCATCTGCCACACAGTGTTTCTCCCCCGGAGCAGCAGAACCACTTTCCCAACCCAACAAGCTCCCAGGAGTCTGGAGGAGCTGGAGAAGCGCTGACAGATTGGATATTACTGCCAGCCTGCCCTTTACATCCAGAATGTTATCTCAGGAAGCCATTAATCAAGGTTAAAAGGAGTTGGGAGAGCTTCACACTCGTCAGCCCTGTCCTCTGGCTGGGCAAAAACTCCCTGGCTTTCCTTAGTGACTGGTAAAACAGCTCCTGCCCCTCTGCAGGAAAAACTTCCAGAAGCAGTAGGAAAAGACCTTTTTTGATCTTCTGTGCAAGGAAACACAGGATTGTAGAGCTACTGAAGTGTTAAATCGTGTTCCTTGTGCACAACGTGCAGAAAACTCCAAGTACTGCCAAATCAGAGCAGCTGGACTGGTTAAAAATGGTTTAATTCCCCGGCAAAATGCAGTTTTAGGTGTTTTTTTCTATTGGCAAATAGTGGCACCCAAGTCCTGCCTGTGCCTGGCTGCACTAGGGGGTGTGTCCCTCCCTCAGGGACCAGCCCAGACTCTGCCTGAGCAGGGAACAGGAGCAGTTTGGGGTCATGGATCCCTGGTTTGATCAAGTGATTTGCTGTAACTCTGCAGTCCCTGTTAGGACATTTTCCTGAAAGTAGAGGCTCTTCATCACGTTAAACACCCGTCAACTGGGGGGAAAAAGGGTTCTGGGACAGATCTGCAGGGCAAGCACATCCCAGTGAGAGAACTGTGGGATCAGGCACTCCCTGGCTGCTCTAAAGCCCCGGGAATGTCCCCACACCTGGAGGAGAAGGACTAAGACACCGAGCAGAGCCTTCAGGAACCAACACCCTCAGCTCTGCTGCGGCTTCGAGGAGGACACGGAGCCCTTGCAGCAGCTCCTGGGCAGCTCCCAGAGCTGTTCCCTGCGGGAGGGCCCTGGATCCCCCGGGAGGAGGGTTACCTGTGATGATGTCCTCGATGGCCCCGTCCTTGCCCTCGTACACGTGCCGGTTGTCCTTGACCTGCCGCCGCCGCAGCTCCGCGATCAGCTCCTGCTGCTGCCGCTTCGTCTTGTGGGAGGGGGACTGCAAACGAGGAGAGGGGTTGGAAGGACGGACCTCCTGCTCTCCTGCCTCTGCCCCGACCTCACACACCAACTGGGTGGCAACCAGCACACAGGAACTGCCCCTTTTCCCTCCATTTTCCAAGGCTGGAACACCCTCATGTGTCCACTAGTGACTCACATCCCAGGGAGAAGCCAGAGAAAGAGAACTTTTAACTCCTGGACATGTGGAAAAGACAATTTTCCACTTAGTTTTCCTTAATTTTTCAGACTTCCAAAGCAGTAGAAGCACAAACTTTCCCAGCTTATCCCAGCTCTTTCCACATAAGAAGAAAACTTCCAGAGACTATTTCCAGGCAACTAAAAGTTGAGCAACCAAATTCCTCCTCCCCAGAGCGGAGGTTTCTGAAGCACCAGGAACATGATCCCACCTGGGAGGTGGATCTGGGCCATACCTTTTGGTCCTGCTGCTCCATCAACGCTTCCTGCTCCATGAGTTTTTCCATTAAGGCCTGTTCCTGCTTTTTCCTCAGCTCATTCTCTTCTTCTGCTTGCTATTTATGGGAAAAAACCAGAGGTTAGAGCTTCCAGGGGAGACTGGGATCCTAAACAGTGCCAGGGAGGAATGTCGGCAGGTGCTACTGAGGGGAGGGCAGGGGAGGGGAAGAGGAGGAGGAGAAGAAACACGGAAGGGGGAAAGGGGAAAAGGGAAAAGGGAGAGGAAAAAGGAGGAGAAAGGAGGAGGAAAAGAAGAGAAGGAGGAAGAGGAGAAGGAAGAGGAGGAGAAGGAAGCTCCTGCTTACCTTGTAGGCCTTCACAAACCGGACAAACACTGGGAAAAAGACCGAGGGGGGAGTTGTCTTGGGATTCTCCCCAAAATACTTCACAGCATCATCAAAGGCATCCTGCAACAGGCACAGATTTACTGCACTGCCCAAGGTCACCTCCCCATTCCCACTGTGCATTCCATGGATACAGAGCACATCCTGTGGGGAGAGCTCACACCCTCCTGCCAAACCCCGAGGAATGAGAGGTACCTGGGCTATTTTGGCGTCGTCCTGCAGCTTCTTGAGCTTGCCCTCGTTGTTCTGGATGAAGTCCTTGAGCATGGTGTTGTGGTCGTGCATGGTGTACTCGCGCTTCGTCAGCTCCAGGCCCCGCTGCAGCTCCTTCACATCCAACAGCACGTTCTCCAGGGACACTGGGAACGGGACAGAGGCTGCAACCCACAGCCCAGGGGGTTCCCTGCCCAGAATAGCCACCCCTGGGGGGTGGAGGAGGCTGAGGGAGGGTCACAGTACCTGCTGCTGCCTTCTCCACGTAGTGCAGCTCGTTGTAGAAGAGGGACACGTGCTGGTACTTCTCCTTGACCACGTTGGAGATGTAGTGCAGCAGCGTCTGCTTCCGGTCTGTCGACTTGGTTTCCAGGAGCTGTGGGCAACAGGCCAGGAGATGGAGCAGCAGGTTCCAAGCAAAGAGACCCACCGGTGCTTCTCCAGCTCCATCACGGTTTTCCATGCTGGGAAGCACCAGCTGAGTCCCTCAGCAGCCACTCAGCCTGGACATCACTGCCCTTGGGTCACCACAACCCCGTGGAACATTCCAGGATGGGGTCTGGAAAGCTGGAAAAGGACCTGGGGGTGCTGAACACGAGCCCAGGTGTGCCCAGGTGGGAAATGTCACCTGGGCTGTGCCAGCCCTGGTGTGTCCCAGACCCAGGGCAGTGCCCGTCCCACCTCCAGGGCTGGGGCAGTTCTGGGACTTCAGACAAGACACAGAGGGGCTGGAGCGTGTCCAGGAAAGGGAACGGAGCTGGGAAGGGGCTGGAGCAGCAGGAGGGACTGAGGGAGCTGAGGGGGCTCAGCCTGCAGAAAAGGAGGCTCAGGGGGGACCTTCTGGCTCTGCAACCCCCTGACAGGAGGGGGGAGCTGTGGGGGGTCGGGCTCTGCTCCCAGGGAACAAGGGACAGGAGGAGAGGGAACGGCCTCAGGCTGTGCCAGGGGAGGGTCAAGTGGGACATCAGGAGGAATTTCCTCATGAAAAGGCTGGTCAGGCCTTGACAGGGGCTGCCCAAGGAGGTGCTGGAGCCCTCACCCCTGGAAGGATTTAAAATCCATGTGTATGTGGCACTTGGGGACAGGGGTCAGTGGTGGCCTGGGCAGTGCTGGGTTGAGGGCTGGACTCAATGCTCTCATGGCTTTTCCAACCTAAATGACCCTACAACCCCAATTCCCACCTGGTCCCACCACACACCTCTTGCTTTACTTACCAGGTCTAAACTCTGCAGCTTAAACCCATAGACAGCCCCTCGTTTGCTGCTGTTCATGTAGTTCCCAAGAGCCAGGATTATCTGCCAGGAGGAAACAAGCAGGGCATGAATTTTCAGGACAAGTGCCCAGGGCTTTAAAAACCCCCAGAAGCAGAGCTGGTGTCAGACCTACCTCCAGTATTTTCTTAAGCTTTTGGGATGACTTTATGGAGACAGAGGCAGCGATTATGGCGTGGAGTTGCTGCAGGAAAACACAGGAAGAGCTTTGGTTACTGCACATCTCACCAGGAGTTAAATGAGCATCTTATCACATCCAGAAAAAATCCTCTTATTTTTCATCCACACCAGGGGCCTGAGCATGGATGTCCCCCTGCTCTGGAGCCAGGCTGGGAGAGCTGGGGGGGTTCACCTGGAGGAGAGAAGGCTCCAGGGAGAGCTGAGAGCCCCTTGCAGGGCCTAAAGGGGTTCCAGGAGAGCTGGAGAGGGACTGGGGACAAGGCATGGAGGGGCCGGACACAGGGAATGGCTTCTCACTGCCAGAGGGCAGGGAGAGATGGGATATTGGGAAGGAATTGCTGGCTGGGAGGGTGGGGAGGCCCTGGCACAGGTTGCCCAGAGAAGCTGTGGCTGCCCCTGGATCCCTGGAAGTGTCCAAGGCCAGGTTGGATGGGGCTTGGAGCAACCTGGGCTAGTGGAAGGTGAAGGTGTCTCTGCACATGGCAGGGAGTGGGATGAGATGATCCTTAATGTCCCTTCCAACCCAAACCATGTTGTGATTCTGTGGATGTTCCCCTGTCCTGACACACCAGGATTTCAAACCATTCATTTGCCCACCAGATTTACCCCCTCAGGCGTGGTGGGGTCAAAGAGGATTCACATTTCAATCCCTACAACTGTGACAGGTGCTTTGGGCTGGGTGGACACAATTCCAGGAGCTCACGGACCAGGACCCACAGTAACCTAATGGGGCCCTGAAGCCTGTGGGGCCTTTGGGTCCTATGGGACACGTGAGGCCTAATGGCACTATGGGGCCCATGAGCCCTACAGAGTTTATGGGGTCCATGAGTCCTAATGGGCCCATGAGGGCTATGGGGTCCATGAGTCCTAATGGGCCCATGAGGGCTATGGGTTCTGTGGGGTTCGTGAGGCCTATGGATCCTATGAGGCCTGTGAGGCCTACAAGGCTTACGGGCCTGTGAGGTAGTCCCTAAGAGTCTGGGTTACAACTGCCATACAAACAGCTCCTGGGATATACAGTCACTAATAGATGAAAATAAAGCCAGAAAACCACTTTTCCATTTGCGTGAGTGTTTCTTGGGGGGTGGTTGGGCACTGACCAGGCTCCCCAGGGCAGTGGGCACGGCCCCAAGGCTGCCAGAGCTCCAGGAGGGTTCAGGGACAGGGTGGGATTGTTGGGGTGCCTGTGCAGGGTCAGCACTTGGCTCGGTGACCCCCAGCTCAGGATATTCCCGGATTCCACGGCTCACCGGGGTCAGCATCTGGATGCTCTCGGCGAAGTTGCCGATGAAGGCCATGATGGTCATTTTCTGCATGAGCCTCTCGATCTTGCTGAACTGCATCATGAACCGGTCCTCGTCCGACAGGTTCTCGATGGGCTTCCGCTCCCGCTCGTACAGACGCAGCACCTTCACCTCGTTCTCCGTGGGCAGGAACCGCATCAGGCACTCCACAAAATCCACCGGCAGCGTCTTCAGGTCAAACCTGCGGCACAACGCCAGGAGAAGAGCTCAAGGACAGCCTGGACGGGGCTTGGAGCAACCTGGGATAGGGGAAGGTGTCCCTGCCCATGGCAGAGGGTGGCACTGGATGGGCTTTAAGGTCCCTTCCAACCCAAACCAGGCTGAGATTCAGCTCTACACGAGCCTGAGTCAGCAGAGAAGAAGCTGTGAAGTTCTTCCTGCCCTGCACCTGAAGCTCCCTGCACATGGAGATGGGAACAGGTTACCGGGCTGATGGGAATGGTGCTGCTGGACACTCTGCTTCCCATTCCAAAGATATGTGGCCATCACCTACATCCCTCCATGGCCACAGCTCTTTTTTGTAAGAGAAAACAGGTGGGGAAGAGCAAATATTTTTATTTAATTGGAGCAGAGCCCTGTAAAAGTCCAACAACTGAACCTGCCTCAATGTGGAGCACGTTTGGGTCACCCTCCAGCCCAAAGGTAACGCTTTTGATCCACATTTTTAGGATATTCCTTACTGGAGGAATGGGAGATGTTTGTCATGGCCATGAGGAGCACAGAGAGCGTGCGGATGGATTTGGGATCAGCCCCAAGGAGCAGCTGCACCTGCACTCAGTCCCCAGGAGCAGGGAAGGGTCTGGATCGGGGTGGGATGGGGCACAGACAAGTCTCATGGACACCCACATTTGGCTCTGCCTGAGGCCACCACACAAACCTAATTCCATGCAAAATCTCTTCCAGCACCTGGACTAAACTCATCCTTTACGGAGCAAACCAAAAGAGTTCCCTCTTCCTGATTCTCTGCCTTTTGGGTGCTCACTGGAACAGAAATTATTTTGGAACCAGAGGGAGAGTTGCAATGGCAAACTACAGGATATAGGATATGGATCCACTATCCTGTGCACAGACAGGAATTAGCTGCTTTAACAACAGAAGTGTTAATTTGTTAAGCCTCAGCAGTGATTCAGAGACACAGAACTGCCAGGTTTTCATTTGAGTTCAAGGCAATCTGATTTCTGGGAATTCAGAACCATTCCCTCCTTACCCCTGGATATTTTCCAGAGACATCAACTGCCAATTCCAACCCTTTCCACCGACTAAACCCCCCAGTAAATCTCAGGGTTTCTTGGCTGGCCAGTGTTTCACTTACACGTGGATGGCCTTGCAGATCTCGTCCGCCGTCTTCCCGGCTTTCCGGAGAGTTATGGCCAGATTCTTGGCCCTGTTGGCATCCAGCAATGTGACCTTGTTGGAGCCCTTCTGGGTGATCTTCTGCTTGCTGGAGGTCAGATCAATGGCTGGGCCCTGGGCCTTTGTCTTGAAGATTTCTTCAAATTCATCCACGTTTAGATCCTAAAAAGGAAAGGAAATGATTTATCCTTCCCGCAGGGAGCACTGAACCCAGTCCCTAATCCTGGGCCAGAGCTGCAGGGAAAGGGGCTGAGACTGGAGCAGAATATCATGGAATCATGGAATGGGTTGGATTGGAAAGGATCTTAAAGCTCATCCATTCCCACCCCCTGCCATGGGCAGGAACACCTTCCACTAGCCCAGGTTGCTCCAAACCCCATCCAACCTGGACTCAAAATTCAGAGTATTTCCATCAGGGATGGAAGGAACACTTGCTCCTGAGCTGGTGATCAGGAATCTGGCCAGAGTCCAGAAATCCAGCCCCAACAGCCCTTCAGATGTTCTAAAGTTCAGGAAAATATTCACATTAGCACTCGTGCTTTATCCAGTCCACAGGGAGCATCCAGGACCTGGATGAGCCCTTTTGCCAAGGTCACTGCCATGGTCTATCCCTGGGGAGACCTTCTCACTGTCCAATTCCCTGACAGGAGGGGGGAGCTGGGGGGGGGTCGGGCTCTGCTCCCAGGGAACAAGGGACAGGAGGAGAGGGAACGGCCTCAGGCTGTGCCAGGGGAGGCTCAGGTGGGACATCAGCTCCCTGGAAAGGGTTGTCAGGCCTCGGAAGGGGCTGCCCAGGGAGGTTTGGAGTCCCCAGCCCTGGAGGGATCTAAAATCCATGTGGATGTGGCACTTGGGGACAGGGGTCAGTGGTGGCCTGGGCAATGCTGAGGGATGGTTGGACTCAGTGATCTAAGAGGGTTTTTCCCACCCAATCCATTCCCTGATTCCATGACTCCCTCGTGGCCAGAGAGGCCCAGGAGCAGTGGGGGTACCTCGAGGATCCTCTCGTCGTCGATCTCGTTGAAGACGGTGCCGTTGATCTGGTTGGGCTTCAGGGCCACCCAGTTGAACACGGGCATGCGGAACTTGGTCTTGATGGGCTTCTTGATCTTCACAGCTGCACACAGGGCAGAGGAAACCACAGATTCCTGAGGGACTGGCTGCAGAACACCCCACATTCCCAGAGGGCAGCTCTCCAGCTGGCATTTCAGCACTGGAGAACTGGCCAGAGCTGAATTATCCCACTGGAATCCTGGAAAGGTGTCACTACCTCGAGAGGCCAACGGTGGCACCCAGCCCTGAGCTTCAGGCCCAGCCTCTGCAGGCCTGGCCTAACCCTCAGAGGCTGTGAAAACTTCCCTAAAGGAAATCTGGGATTAGTTTATTGCCACAAGTTGCCTGGATTGATTTAAAAGCCCAGGATTTATATTTAAACACCCCAGAAAATGGAGAGAGCGGTTGAATTGAAGCCTGTCCTGCTGCTGGCAGAGCAGTGTCACACACCCCGGGAGCTGTGTCCCAAAACAGGTGACAAGAAGGGAAAAAAAAAGCCCCTTTCCCAAGGTTTTTGGGGAAACTGCATTGGGCAGAGCTGCTCCTCAGCAGGTTTGCGTTTCAGAGCCAAAGGGGTTGGGCTGCAGCACCTGGGATTTAACAGGGGTGAAGAAACCGGGTTTTAATTCCTGTGCTGTGCAAATGCAGTAAGTTAAAGTAATTTAGGAACTTTACAGTCAATTAGGAACTTCAACAGAGGAGCTATGAAAACGAAGCCTGAAAATTAAACTTGATTACTCTCATTAATCTGTGAACAGAGGAGAAAAAGCAACGTGGGAGCAATGAACCCAATCCCTTCCTATTCCTGTTCCTATTCCAATTCCAACAGGTCTGGAAGGTGAATAATGAATAACTTCTGTAATTCAGTTCTGATTTCTTTGTACCTTGATGTAAACATGAAGTTGTTCCTTGCTACAAAATCAAGTGTTCATTGAAGTGCTCAATCAACCTTTTGCTCCTGAATCATTTAAAAGATAAATTGTTTCTTTGCAAAGATGAAACACAAACCCTGGTCCTTCCTCTCCAGTGCTGGGAACAAGGAGCCACGAGTGGATAACAGGGAACATCCACAATATTCCACTGTGCATTTTGAGAATTAAATGTCTGCAACTGCAAGGCAGGAACCCACGTGCTCATCTCCATCACACAGTTTTACTCTCTGCTTAATTAATGAGGTTACTTAAAATAATTCCTAAAATAAATAAAAAAAAGCTTTGAACACCCATGAAAAAAACCATTTTCCGCTTGTGCATAAATTAGAATCTCATTAACTGCTCCTGGGTTATTCCAGGACAGGGAAGAAGCCGATGCCTCGTGGGCCAGGTCCTGATGGAGCTCAAAATCTCTCCAGATTTCCCTTCCTCCTCCATTCCAGAGCTCTGGTGCCCAAATCCCCAGGGGTGGCACATCCCCAGGGCCTCCCCCTGCCCACCCCCACGAGTCCCTGGACATACACGGACACAGCACAGAGGGAAAAGCAGGAATAACAAATACTTAGCAGGGAGCAACCTACAGAAGAGCTTGATGGGCCCATCTTAGCAGGAGGCAGAGAGAACAGAGAAAACAGTGTTAGTGAATGGTCAGAAAGGCAACATTTGTTATTCCCCGGACTCCCCTCACACCCAGAAGGTTCCTGCCCCAAAACTCCTCCTTCCTGAGGAGCCACTGCATCAGGAAAAGGCACTTGCACTCCCATTCCCAATCCTAACCCATTGAAGAACAGGATTTCCAGCTCCCCTGGCTCTGGGCATCTCACCCAGATGTGAGTGAGGAGCTGGGCCAGGAGAGCTTGGCCACTGCTCCCATCCCAAATTAACACCCAGGGATGTTGGGATAAGGCACCTCCTGTGCCCCCTGCAGCCCCCCACGGCCACATCCAGCACCCCTTTCCCAAATCCCTCCAGAGGGATCAGCCCTCAGCAGGGCTGTGCCTTCTGTGCTTTATTTTTGCCTAATTCCCCCTGGGACCCTCTAGTTCCAGGATGCTTTGGGCCTTCAGAGGAAACTTTAAAGGCTGGAATACTTAATCAGATTTTTCTTCTTCAAAAAAAGCTCTTAATTAGAGCTCCTCAGTCTCTTTTTTTTTGGACTCATTATGTGCTCTTGAGGCTTCTGGTGACAGTCAGCATTTACTCACTGCCTGAGACACTTGGCACGTGCCAGAGAGTGACTATAAAAACACCATTAAAGATGGGCTGCAAATTGTTCTGCCTTCCAAAAAATCCCCCAAAATTTGCCCTTTTTTTTTTTGCACAGACATTTCTTCTCAGAAGAAATGCAACCCATGGAGCTTCACGTTTCTTTCAAACCCACTTTTTGTCTGCTCAAAAGCCCAAACTGATCATGTTTAAAAAGCACTTTTGGCACGGGCTTTGTTTCACTGGAGAATCCAACTCTTCCAGACCAAACCAAAGCTGTCAGGCTGATAAATCACAGAATCACAGGATGGTTTGGGTTGGAAGGGACATTAAGGATTATCTCATCCCACCCCCTGCCATGGGCAGGGACACCTTCCACCAGCCCAGGTTGCTCCAAGCCCCGTCCAACC